CTGCATCGAGGTTCTGTTCATCTGCAGGTCCTGATCTATGTTGATGATCTCATTGTTTCCAGGAATGATACCATATCCATTACGACCTTCAAGAGTTACTTGAGTCGTTGTTTTCACATGAAGGATCTTGGGTTGCTTAAGTATTTTTTGGGTATCGAGGTTGCTCGAAATTCTTCTGGTTTTTTTCTCCGTCAGCGGAATAATGCTCTTGACAGCATTACTGAGGTTAGACTTTTAGGGAGGAAGCCAACTGATTTTTCGTTAGAGGCCAACTGATTTTTCGTTAGAGCAGAATCATCAACTTTCTCTTACTGAGGGTGATCTATTGTCTGATCCCAATATATATCGTCGTTTAGTCGGACGTCTGATCTACCTGACGGTGACTCGTCCAGAGTTGTCTTATTCGGTGCATATGTTATCTCAATCTATGCATCAACCGCGTCTGACTCACTGGGACTCTGCTCGGCGTGTGGTTCGACATTTGAAAGGCTCTTCTGGTAAGGGAATCCATCTTCATACTGACTGTTATCTTCAACTTTATGCATGGTGTGATTCGGATTGGGCATCTTGGTCTTTCACTCGACGACCTCGTTCTGGTTGGTTTATGTTTTGTGGATTTTTGGGCAAGATATAACCGAGTTACCCGACTCGAGTCGTTCTCAAAAGGAAGATGGTTCGGAGCTTCGTTTACTAATTAATTGTCCAAATCACAAAAGGAGAAAATAATCCTTAACATCCTAATCAATGAGTTTGGGGTTGAATTAACACTAGACGAGCAAATGATTACAATTAATAGTAAAGAACGAGCAAATAACGAAACTAGACCATTGGAATCTCATGTCATTGACACGATAGAAACATGCTTAGAGCTAAAACCGAACCTACTACGAAATAACTGAGCTAAGTAGCAAAGTCACGATTTTCTAATAGAAATTCAAATTCCAACTAATCCTAAGCACAATAAACGAGCAAGCAATAAAAACAATTCAAAAATCGAGCTTTGCATCCATCATCCACAATACTCACATTTACCTTAATAAGCATTATAAGTAAAAACGAGGCAAAAATTAAAGTAAAGAGCCTTAAAGATAAGTACCCAATCTCCTATTGCGTAGTTGACGAAAAATAGAGTCAAAAGCTCGAAGCTTGAATGAAAATAAAGTCGCTGGAAAAACTACCAAAAAATGAGCTCCTAGTCTAGAGAGAAAACTTAAAACATAAGCTAAGTACCAATCAGAAAAAATGATATAATGAAAGTTGGATGATTAAAAGACAAAGCATATAATGTATTTATACTAATAGGCAAAACACACACTAAAAAAATGCACATTAAATGAAACACTCACTAGATGAGTCGAACTCGCAGGGTAGGTCTTCGATTTTGCAGGCTAATTTTGCTAGCAAGGTTGGGACTCACGGGTTGCGTAAGATTCGCGGGCTCGAGCTGAAGAGACTCGCGGGGTAGCAGCACTTGGGCGCGGATGAGAGGAACTCGCGAGGTAGCATGCACTCGCGGGCTTGAGGGAGAGAATTCGCGGGCAGGGGTGTGAGAACTCGCGGCTTAGGCGCGCAGCATGAAAACTCGCGGGTTGTGCGAGGTTTGCGGGCGCGAGCCGAAGACATTCGCGGGGTGGAGGCACGCAACTGGGGAACTTGCGAGATAGGCCGTGTTTGCGGGTTAGGGGGCAGATTTCTCGCGTGCGAATTTCAGAAACTGAAGTGCTGGCTTGGAATTTTTGTCCCGGGTATGGATCGACTTCAAAGAGCTCTAAATCATCGTACATTGCTCCGGTCGACCTGAAATTTCGACTCAAATTTATCAATTCTTTTTCTCCTCGTCTCGGGACGGCTCGGGCGACTCGGTCGGCTTGGACGACACATCACGAAATGACTATTTCTTTCTTCCGGATCTACAAAAACACCAAAATGCACAAGAGAAATAGAAAATATATACGAAAACACACATCGAAAACTAAAAGCTACTACAAATAAACAAAGATGGACTGGAAAAACACAAAACGAACCTAAAAAGACTCGATTAACGCAAATAAAACACAAGAAAACACACCCAAAAACATAACAAACAGTTTATTCAGCTGGGTTAGTCTCATGTTTCTTAGAGAACCAATAAACAACCCATTGTCGCTCGCTCTTCTGCTCAGGCTGAATATCGGGCGATGGCTACTACACTGTGCCAGTTGAAGTGGTTACGGGGACTGTTATCTACTCTTGGTGTCGCTCACTCTCAGACTATGCGCGCGGTTACACTATGACAGTCAGTATATGTTGCATATTACGGCGAATCCAGTTTTTCACGAACGCACTAAGCATATTGAGGTGGATTGTCATTTTGTTCGTGATTCTGTTCTCCAGGGTCTCATTTCCACTACCCATGTTCCTTTTGGGGAACAACTCGCTGACATTTTCACCAAGAAGGTTGGGAAGCGTGAATTTGATTTCTTGGCAAGTTGACATTTGAAATCCACATGCTTCAATTTAAGGGGGGCAGGGGTGCTAATGTGTACATTTGTGTATTTACTGTATTAGCCTTACATTATCATTTGGTAACTATAGCCTTAATTATGTAAAAATATTCTTGGTTAACATAGAGAGTCACATCATCTTTTTGAGATGATCATTTTCCCGA